TCTCTCTCTCTCTCTCTTGAAGGAAAATGTCGATCGATGTATAATTTGGGGATTTTGTTTTATATTCATCACGAATGATGATCGTATGCTTAATATCTGTTTTTGGGAGAGTAAATGTTCATTCAGACTAGATCGCAGTTAATTTAGTCAACTCCTCAGTATATCACCCAATTGATATGTGTGTTTGCTGGAGATGGGCAAGCCTACAATTCTTTGAACTTACCATAATGATTGTCAATATCGCTGATGTTGGTCAAAACGGTTCGTCTAAAAATTGCTCTGATTACACGTCTACTATACAAGTTTTTTCTGTGTCTTCTGTTTCTTCTATGCCCTTTGTTGTTTCCTTTGAAGAAATACACTAGTAGTTAATGTAATGTGGTGCCAATTTCTCATTCCTATTGTCAGAGTTGCATCAGCACAAATTTTTATGGATAAGACAATGTAACTTATGTAAATTCCAGTCACTGAAGACAATTATGTAATAACATCTTTTAACCATCTGCTTGGTGTGTCTTCTCATAAGGCCACTGCTCAATGTAGAATTTCTGATTGTACTAATCAGTAGTTACCACCACCTTTATAATATATGATTAGCACAGTTGCTCATTACCATCCCCTTTTTCTGGTGTTTTCTAGCTGACCCATATGGTGGGCCCGTAAACAGCTGGCAACATAATGTTCCGCAGCCTCCTAACGATGTTATTAAACCTTCTCCAGCACCTGCTGGTGCGTCTAGACCCCCATACACCCCTTCACCTCATCCTCCGCCTGCTCCTCCTTTCATGAGCAGCAGTGGAGGATATAGTTCGAGTTCAGCCCCGGAAAGTATACTCCCACCACCCTCACCTGGCATGGCCTTAGGGTTTTCTAAGAGCACTTTCACATATGAAGAGCTGGCAATGGCAACTGATGGCTTCTCAGATGCAAACCTTCTTGGGCAAGGTGGTTTTGGTTATGTTCACAGAGGAGTCCTTCCAAATGGCAAAGAGGTTGCGGTAAAGCAGCTAAAAGCTGGAAGCGGACAAGGGGAGCGTGAATTCCATGCAGAGGTTGAGATCATTAGCAGAGTGCATCACAAGCATCTTGTTTCATTGGTTGGATACTGCATGACTGGGACTCAGCGGATGCTTGTTTATGAGTTTGTCCCAAACAATACACTGGAGTTTCATCTTCACGGTTAGTTTTATGAACGAGTATGCTCTCTTTGGATTTTGTTGACGAAAAATTCCAACTTGTGAAAAACTGAAACAAAAAGGATATAATCATGTTTCTTTTCATTGAGATGTTTATGGACAATTTTGGTTCATGTAGTTCTGTGCATTATATATTCCATATCGAATTATGTTTTTCTGGATTTCGGAAACCTTTGCCCTCAAAATATATTACTTTATTTTTCTTTCTTTCCCCCCCTTCTTTTCAGGGAAGGGAAGACCTGTAATGAATTGGTCCACAAGGATGAAGATTGCTCTAGGTGCTGCGAAAGGACTTGCATATTTGCATGAAGATTGTAAGGGTTTTCTTGGCGTACATAGCGTATAGGAAAATGAAGAACAATTTTTTCCTTGCAAATGATTCTTTTTGCTCCTAAAATGCTTAATGGTCTGTATCAGGTCATCCAAAGATTGTACACAGGGACATCAAGGCGTCTAATATTCTTTTGGACTTTAACTTTGAGGCAAAGGTGATCTATTTTTTACTTAAACCACAATTTTGTCTAGGCTACAAATCACCAGTTAACCTGCAGTGAGGTGTAGAATTTTGGTGAAACTTTAGAAGTATGAAGGTGATGAGTTCAAATTTTCCATATCAGTTCTTCCTATGTTTATGTGAAACCAGTAAATGTATATTCTTACCAAAACTGTTGATATTAAAATCGAGAGAAGCCCCAGTGCTTACTGCTGAATATTATTTATTTACTCAGGTTGCAGATTTTGGTCTCGCAAAGTTCTTTGCTGATACCAATACTCATGTCTCCACAAGAGTGATGGGAACTTTTGGGTATGAATAAATTGCCTATGTTCGCTGCACATGATGACTTAGGAATGTGCTATAGCCTTTTATTTTTTCCGTATCTCCTTTATATTAATAGGTTTCAGTTGGAAGTAGCTTTAAATTATTGCTTTCTACAAACGTTGTAAGCTTTTGCCAAGTATTTCTTTCATTATTCTGCTTCTTGATTATGCAGTAACAATTTAATCTTGTAAGCTTTTGCTAATTATTTGTTTCATCACTCTGCTTCTTGGTTGTGCAGTAACAAGTTAATCTTGTAATTGCAGTTTGCTGCTGTTCTGATGTTTGGTGCTAAAAATAATGTCATTTTTCATTAATCTATAGGTATCTTGCACCAGAGTATGCTTCCTCTGGAAAACTTACCGAGAAGTCCGATGTGTTCTCATTTGGTGTCATGCTTCTCGAGTTGATTACTGGAAAGCGGCCTGTTAGCCAAGATCAGTCTTTCATGGATGATAGTTTGGTTGACTGGGTAAGCAACTTAGTGCGATGGCTCTTTACTGGTCGATCTTTTTTTTTATGCATGAGCATCATTTTTACTTGAGAGTTAACAAAGAGGAATTGCAAATGCGTGGAATACAGGCTAGGCCCTTGCTCACACGAGCTCTTGAGGATGGAAATTTTGATATCCTTGTCGATGAACGAATACAAAACAATCACAATCACAATGAGATGGCTCGTGTGGTGGCCTGTGCTGCTGCTTGCGTGCGTCATTCATCTAGGCGTCGACCCAGAATGAGCCAGGTAATTTTTTTTTTTTTTTTCTCCTTCTCTTTGAGTTACATATTTGTTACCCTTGCCTCAAATAATGGTCAAGTACTTGGAGCTTGTTTGGAAACACTTTTTAAATGGACTTTTAGATGCAAAAGTCCATTTGGATAAATATTTATGTTTGGTGCATAATTAAGAATGGACTTGTGGATAAGTTGTTTCTCCAAAAAGTCCATTCTGTAGAAGTAAATGATGGAGACTTTAGAGAAGTCCATTTTGGATAAGTCCATATTTTAAATGGACTTTTTCAAAAGTGCTCCCAAACAAGCACTTAGTATTTACCCACACTTCCTAATCCCATTCCCAGAAACATACTTTGAGAATGCTAGTTTCAATTTAACTGGCCACCTGAAGTATTCTTTTTGGTATTGCACTGTATCAGTTTTTTCAAAGAATTTTGGATGCAAAAGAAAATATGTAATTTTATGTAGAAGGCCAATAGGGATGAACAAGAAGTACTAAACATCTTTCACCGAGCAAGACTAACTTGCCCCAATGGCCAATGCTATTGAAGAATAAATCTATACTATCCTATTGACACCATATCTTATATACTGTACTATAGATATTATAAAATGATAATAACGAATATATAAGGGGTAAGAAAATAATGGCATATAAGGAATAATAAATAAGTCAAAGTCCATAAAGATTAAACACTTAATAAGGTCCCAAAACTCAGCGTAAATTATCTAAGGTTGGGTGTATTCATTTCGGATACTGAAAGATTTTAATGGTATTAAGGTTTGGTTTATTCTTTCTGGATACTGAAAGACTTGAAAGGTATGATTGGTGTTGTAATGAAATGATTATGTGAATAAAAGAAGTTTTTTCATTAATGTGTTTGGTATGGTAAAGAAGTAACACCAGAATGAATTGATGTTATCATTCCATATTGTCAATATATTATCAAAAAATAATTTCAATATTTATATTAATGTTATTTTTTTTTAATTTATGTTAATTTTCTTTTAAAGAATTATATTATATGTTGAATGAATATTTTTTATATTGTTAAACTCATTTCATATTAATCTATATATGGTTGTGTGTAATTACTTATAGTTTAATTCCTTTTATGAATAAGTATAATATATATATATGTGTGTGTGTGTGTGTTTGTGTGTGTGTATACATAAATGTATAAAAACAAATAAGATTCTTCCAAATCATATTTATAAATGCATTTTTTTATAATTTTTATTACATAATTAATATATCTAAGTCAAATATGCATAATAATAAAAAGTAAATACGTAATTTTCAAGGAACGCAGTGACGTATTGGGAACGAGTGAGCCATGCGAACGAAGTCTCTTGCTTTCAAGTGAAAGACTTGGTTTAAATATTTATTTAAAATTTATTATTTAGAATAAATGATTTTAAATATAACTTAATCATGATTAATATTACAACTTATATATTCATTTTTTATTGTTATTTTTAGTCTTACTTTTTGTATAAAACAAATTAAAGATATGGGAATGAATAAACTCGTATATTAGCGATGGAATGGAATGACTAATTGTAGGTTTGTTTTGCAATTTCCATTGCAATGGTCATTCCTTCCTAAAAAAATATACCAATCCTACGATTAGGAATAAGTAAGGAATGATCATTTCATTCTTTTTGCCATTCCATCGTACAAATCGTGCAATAAGATTTTAAGAATCCTTGTGTATTTAACTTGGGTTTCTTTAAAACTTTTAAAAGCCTTGATTTTTTCATTTGAGATATCAATGTCGTAAAAAGTCATGATGTATTCATTTAGGATTTCAAAGTCTTTTAGAAGTCATGAGGTGTTCAATTTGTCTATCACTTTTGAATTTGTCTGGACAACATTTACTGAGATTTTAATGAGAATACATAATCGGAATCCCACACTAAATCCCACATATCTTAAGGTTTTAGTATCCCACACTAAATCCCACATATCTTAAGGTTTTAGTTAAATTGAAAACTTCGAAAGCCTCGAATTTGGAAAAATCTTAAAATGCCAATCAAAGTATCAAATGAATGCACCCTCTTAAGATTGATATCTATTCATTCTTGCATCTCTATCAATTTAATACTTGAAATTGAATAATATTTATATAGGTTTCTCAAAACGCTTGAAGCAACCCTTTTATCTCTTATATTTTCCATTCATAAGCAACATGAATAGCAAATAAAAGAAAGCCTCCAGAGTCGTTTCTACTCTATAGTTTCTAGTCTCAGGATCCTCACCCGAATTCAAATAGTATGAAGCAATATGGTGTAGGAAATCTATTGTACTGGTACTCAAATTGTTCTTTTTTTTTTTTCCTCCCTGAATAAATAGCTGAATATCAGTATTTTGCATCTGAGAGCAGGTTGTAAGGGCCTTAGAAGGGGACGTATCGCTCTCCGATCTCAATGAAGGAATAAGACCCGCCGGGCACAGCACAGAGAGCTCGGACTACGATACTGCTCAATACAATGAAGACTTGAGAAAGTTCCGAAAAATGGCTCTCACAAGCCAAGAATATGGGAGCACTGGCCAGTATAGCAACCCTACGAGCGAGTATGGCTTATATCCATCGGGCTCAAGTAGCGAAGGCCAGCAAACGAGAGAAATGGAGATGGGGAAGATGAAGAAGGAGACGAGGGATTCTGTTGGCGGCATATGACAGAACAATGCATGTACATTTTGGTGTTTGTGTTGCTTGGATCCTATTGATTCTTTCTTTTAGTCATCCACTTTGTGTTCGGGGAATGACATGTTTGGCTTGATTTCGTTGCATGTACTGTAGTAGTGTTGTCCTTTTATTTTTTCCATTATATTTTTTTTTTACTCATTTCTTTTCTATTTTGGTTTTTATTTTCTGTATTGTTCCCAAAATGTATTCACTGTAGCCTAATCAAACAGTTTCTAAAGGCACACTTGTGTTCATCATTTGATGCTTAGATGGTTTGCTGTTTAGTGCTATCAGAGAGCTGAGGCATGTGTATAATGTTTAATACTTGAATGGTTTTTATTGATTCCAGGAATTGTATTTTCCAGATCTATATATAATTTGAATCTTTATTCTATTTATTTTGCAAATTTAGAAACGGGAAATTGATTTTACTGGTGATTGTTCATTTTCATAAGTTTGAATGAGACTTCAAAGGCATTGTTGGACATTGGTTGATAAATCGTGTAAATATGTGGGTTGATTATGTTACTAATAAATGAGATAATATTTAGCGATGGAAATTATATAAATTTCGTAATGCATGCCATTTCTTGTGGATGTATATGCATTCAATATTTAATTTGCAAGAGAAAGATTTTCCATGAACCTATTAATTTTTGTAAGTCAACTAAAGTTCTTGACGAATAGACGGTCTTCATTTTACCACACGAACAAAAATTCATCAACTCTGCTAGGAACTGTGATTTTTATTGCATTCTAAGAGCATCTCCAACCGAATACACCAAACTCAAACCCATTTTGCAGTACACATCTCATTTTGCAGTAATTCATCTCCAACCGAAAAACCCATTTCCAACCCAAAAGAATATTCTCGGAATATTCTTTTTTACATCAACTTTTACAACTTTTCAATATTACCCACATATTTCACAACTTTACAAATTAAACCACACTTTTTAATGTTAGTGTTTTTTTTTTCTTGTTAAATAAAAATACCATAAATAATATGTATATTTTGTATTATTATTGTGAAATATATAAAATTAAATGATAACTGTAATATTTATTACTTTAAATATTATACTATCTAATTTGTATGAAATAATTTCTTTTATTATTTTACATTATTATTGTAAAAAAATTAACATTAATATGTATAATTACTCGATTATGAATAAATATAAAATAATATCATATTAATTATTTTACATATCATATTATATAATTTTCACGAAATTAAAAAAAAAAATTGTATTCTTTAAACTTAATTTTCAATTTAAAAGATTGTTTATTATTTTTTACTATTTAAAAAATAAAGAAAAAAAACAAAAATCAATTTATAAAGTAAACAAACTTAAAGGACCAAAATGTAAAAAAAAAGATAGAACGCAAAATTTGCGTTCAGACGCAAATACGCGTCAATATGAAGAGAGAGAGTGTTGAGATCGCAAATTGCGATCGGTTTTTGGCGTCGGTTGGAGCTCCCCGTACTGCAATTTTTGCGTTTTGCAGTACGGTTGGAGAAGGTCTAAGTGTAATCCTTTATCTGATCCTAAGTCCATTCTAATATTGTAAGCCTTTAGTTGGAGGGGTGCAAATGCTCTTAGCACAACTTTCTAGAATCATCCAATGGCAGTTCGTCCTGGTGATCCCATTATGGTGGAAAGGCTAAAATGTCCACACGTAAATTAGTTACATCACTGACAAACCGATAATAGAGGGCCATAGGATTTTTAAAATTATTTTAATTTTAAAATATTCCTTCTCTCATTTAGTATTTTAATTGAGGAATGTTTTAACATGCAATTTTTATAATTAGTTCACATGCATTCAAGCAATAATTAAATAACATGCAATTTCTCTAATTAGTTCACATGCATTCAAGCAATAATTAATTAAACATGCACATTAAGCAATTAATATCAATAATAAAACATGAAAATAAATTGAACTACTGTGGCGATTAATTAGAACTCTACCTGATTAAGGAAACCGATCAGTCCATGTCCAATTTGAACTGAATTTCCCTTATTAGCTTAGAATTCCATATCCAACAATCTTTCTTGACAAGAAAGTCGACCACCGGAAAATCGTCGGAGCTGCCCATCCACCACGCATCGTTGTCGTGTCACCCATCGTGGTGTCGCACATCCAAGCCACTCTCGTCGTATCCAACTGAGCTTCGTCATTCCCCTTGCATCGTCGTCGTGGGAATGTCGTTGTCGCCGTCAGATGTCGTCAGGATTCTCTCGCGCCTGCCAGAGACATTGCACAACTCAAAGGCCTGGCCGCGTCGTGCGTCGCCTGCCTAAGCTTGTCTTACACGTTGTTGGGCATACAACGTAAGTGCCCTCATATCGCGCGGGTAGTCAGCTATTGTCGGGGTCGTGCGTAGAGGTTATGTGACGGTGCAAAAATTATGCGCACCGTCCTGCAGCTCGTCTCCCACCATCGTCGTGGCCTCTCATTGCGCTTTTATGCGACCTGCGTGATGAGGATCGTGTATTTTCCTAACTCGTTTTGCCTCGAAACCCACACCGACACCTTGATTTCTAAGCAAAAGTTGCTAATACCGCGCGGACGCCATCATACTTTGCTATTTTTGATGTTGGTCCTATTTCTAATACGATTTTGTATGTAAACTCACACGAATTAACACACAAGATTGGTGATCGAGTCGATCATTTTTCTTACTTCTTGAACTTGAATGATATATGAAAAAGATGAACTAAGAATAAGTATTTAAAAACCTAAAACTATTCCTAAACTTTTGTGAAGATCTAATCCTAAGAGAAGTAGAATTCTTAACTTAAGGAAACCAAATATCTATGCTACCTTATTCTATAAGTCCCAAGCATAATAATACTCCTAAACAATCTAGAAAATCAATTAAATAACTAATTAATAGCTAAGATTCGACCGGGTCCTTGGAGAAGCTTCTTGTGCCTTCTAGATGGTTCTCCGTCACTTGGCGCCCAAAAAAACCTCGTGCAACTCCCCAGCCGTGCGCATCTTCTATTAGACCTCTCTCGCGCTCGTGCCCGTCTTGCGCGTGCATGCTGCCCAGGCGCCCGAAGGTCTCTCCCTGGTACTCTCTCCCAGTTGTTGTCCACACGTCTCAATTCGCCCGCACGACAGTTGTGGGACGCGCCTGTGCTCGTGCGCGTGCTTGCTCGCCTCGTTTATTTTGCGCCCGCAAATAACTTTGTTGGGGTCGTGAGTGTTCCACCAGCCCTGTCCTCCCGCGCGCTGCCTTGCACCTGCGTGCGGTCTCGCGCTGCTTCCTGCAGGTCGACCCGTGCCAGCGCGGTTGCTCCAAGTCGTCTCGCGCAAAATGTTGCGGGTCTTGGCAGCGACCCGAGTTTCTCTTGTGCGTGCACGTCGGGCTTGATCATGGGTGTGGGAAGGTGCAAAACCCACATTCATATCATTTCTGCCTCCTTTAAGCACATCCTGCTGCTTGTGTATTCTCCCTCCATCCACTACCTCTAAGCTACTTAACTCCGCGCCTTTAGCCCCTCCCTTCGGTTTGGTCTTTAGGATGACCAGTCTATTACCCGAATAGAACTCCATTATCCCCTCCTTATAATTTGTTTTGACTTCCTCATGTCCTTCTAGCCATTGTACTCCCAGAACTATGTTAGGCCTCACCAACGATAATGAATGGAGAGTCAACCTTGATGGTCTCGCCTTGAAGATTGATGAGCACTTCTCGATATTACTCACGACATCGTAGTCGTTTCCCATTAGCTACTATAACGTCAAATGGCTCCACCATAGTCCCTGGTAACTTCAACTTGTCGGATAATATCGCGCTAATAAAATTGTGGGACGACACAATATCAACTAACACCTCAATGGATCGCTCTCGAACTGCAGCGGACAACTTAAGGCCTGATTGTTTATGGTCTAGTATGTAATTTAACTAGATTTTTACTAGAAAAGTGGCCTGAAAAACTAGATTTTTACTAGATATATATTCGCATGTTGCATGTGC